GATGGATGGATGGATGGATGGATGGATGGATGGATGGATGGATGGATGGATGGATGGATGGATGGATGGATGGATGGATGGAATCCTCAAAAGGCTTAAATAAATAAAGCTTTCTTCTAAACTAATAGGTGAATAACATTTGATACAGATATTACTGTAGCTGTAGACAACTAACGTTATAAATGTATGAGTATAAAATAACTAATAGCCAACATCAAATAATTATAATGATGGAAATAAATAAAAGTTATAAAACAAAAAAATAACAAACCTATATTAAAATCATAAAAGGAAATAAAATAATCTGCCCAGTTTGAGTTAAAAGGTGAGGCAAACAGGTGGGTTCATAGTTCAGGTAAAGTGTCTTTATCTCCACTAATAAGAGATTTGTAAAATTAAAATATTTATGGCTACAGCCTGAAATTCAAACAAATGACAAAGGAAATTTAACCAAGGAGAAACAAATCAAAATCCGGTCTTAATGAGAATATTTTTGAGTACAGTATGTTTTAGAAAGATGAGGAAAAAAAAAACGAATGACAACTTCTCCGTCTAGAATTTATTTAACACTAAAATCTGTCAGTAGACAGACGCGGTTCTTTTCACTAAGATGCACCCAAACTCCAAAAACAGAGCGGCAAATATTCAGCGTCTTCAGCTTTTATACACAGAGTGGTGTTAAACAAAATCAAAATGATAGGTGGTATAAAAACATTGTGTAGACTTTAGACCCCCTTTGCAGAAATTGAACCACTCCTTTTCTCTGCCTATCTGCTCTGTGAGTGTTATCTAACATCCTGTTACTCTCAGCCTTGTCTGTGTCAAGCATCGTTTCCCATAATGCTGCTCTTTGCTGTTCTGTTTTGTGTGATAGCGATACTATGAAACTATCTTCTCACTTCATCTCACCCATCCTAACAGCAGAGGGAGACAAACACCTGTATTTTTCACCTTTCCCAGCACAGGTATTTGTGCCGTCTCCCTAAGATGCACTTACTAGATGTACTTACTTGTGACGGTGAGAACATTAGTCTTGACCTCAGCACTGATCTCGATGCGGCCTCTCCTCTCAGTGTGGTCTGTTCCACACAGATTCGGCACATTGGGAACGCAGCGCTTGTGGATGTTCATCATACAGTCTGGAAAACACATACAAGGCCAAATCTCAGAACATAGATTGAATATAATGTTTAGTTTGGGTATTTCAAGGAAGCAACAGGTTTAAACACATCGCAAAGAAAAGTAATTATCAAACATTTCCATTTAGATATGGATAAAAATGTCCATAGATGAAAGGTTAGGGGTAGTTTAGAGCACGTACGGTCACATCTCATTCCCTGGTGTATGAGGCCGTACAGTAGGGAGCCGCAATGGTCACAGAAGGTCGGGCTGGAGTAGGTGTGGATCTTAAATTTATGCTTTGCCCTGGGGTCCTGATGAGAAACATCAAGAGAAGCATGAAAAAAAACTTGTTAGACATTAAAATAATCCACTTATGGGGACAATCATTTCAGCGCACCTGATTGGATAAATGATTTATTTATCATTTGCCAAAAAAGGACAAAAAAATATCTTTAATCGCAAGAAAATGTTCCAGTAAGCATTAACAGGAAGTTTATTTGCAGAAATGGGGGGTTGACTCTTTCATCTGATAAAGATAGATTTCCTCTGCATCACTTTGTTCATATCAGTTAAAGGAGAACACAGAAACGTCTACGATCAAAGTCTGACAGCGTTTATGTGCGTAGGTACTGTAAGCATGCCTGCCTGTCTGTGAGCACAATAGTCCATCAGAGAAGGTCAGCCTTCCTCGAAGTTTGTTAAAAGGGAGTAGTGGTCATGCAAAAACATGCAGCCACCTGTTTGAATCACATAATGGGTTACTGGGTGCTAAATAAACCTAGAATAGAGACCTGTGAATTCAAATGTTTTACAGGGAGAAAAAGTATGTTTTCAATACAAATCTTTTTGTTTAAGTTTCTATTCTATCAAAAAAATGAATTATTCCTGAAATATTTAAAGCAGGATTATATTTCAGCATGAGCCTCTGGCGGCTACAGACATTGGGGATCATTGACTGTTCTTCAGTAGTCTTTCAATCATGATGAGTTCAGTTTTTGGAAATATTTATGTTATTCTTCCAATTCTTTCTCTATTAATTATCTCAGTTCTTAGCTTTCAGTCTGTAGAAACATTAAAGAGTAGTAATACAGGACCTATCCTTTAAACTTTTTGTCTTTTTGTGACATGTCTCAACAGTCTTTGCATATTTAGCTCAGGTTAGATGAAGAGCATCTGTGGACATCTAATGTTTTTCAGTCTTTTCAAGGATTCTCAATCAGATTTTGATACGGCCATTTTGAGATATGGATTTCCTTGCCTTGCTACTGTGTGACACCTCACCCATTTTTCACATGGGGTTCAGGTTCCAGCGTTAGTTCATAAAACAAACAGTAAAACTAAAAGTTTTATCATTATCTGGTCTCCTCTGACCAGAGCATCCTCCTCCACATGTCTGCTGTTCCTAGTGAAACATAGGGCATCTCACCACCTGCATATAGATACATCACTAGTTCCAGCTTTCTGTTTTTGTCTTTCTATTGTCTATAACAGGCTCATTTCTGCACATTAATATGCATCACTTGCTTATAAGCATGCATTAGAGGATTTACGTGGGAGTGATTTCTTAGGGAGGCACTACCTTCAGTTTTCTGTGCTATCGCACCATCAAACATATGACTTATTTAAAGAATATAACATATTATTTCCAATCAATTCTCTAAAAACAGAAAGTAATTTGAGTTATTTAGACATCTGACAAAACAGATTATGATTCTTTTGTCTTCTTGGGTTTAAGTTTAAGACAAATCCTTCTTTTGAAAATATATGTAAATGTCAAACTGGGGTGGGGGAAGAAAAAAAAAACCCAACCTATTTTTGTCTGATGTCAGTAAAGTGCCTCTGTGAATTCATGCATGTCAGACACCTGCAACCACAGCAGTCAGAATACACACCTGCATATGAGTTCTGTGACTGTCAAGATGTTCTCAGGGTAGCTTTATTTTATCACGAAAGTTTGAATCTTTTAAATAAAAAGGAAGAACTAATTCAACTGGATTTCTACTCTGAATCTAATCTGGGATATGATGGAACATTTTGATCATTACCTCTTCTTAAGAAATCAAAGACACTCTTAGCATGGAGTTGTGTTTGCATGATTTTAATATGTGCATTTTTCTTCTCCTGTCTTGTAGTCCAAGAATTGAGCTGGGAGGTAGAATAGCTTTAATTCCAGATAACCCATTTTAACAAAAAGAAACACAGAACCGAATCCCTAATTAACAAATAATATCCAATTTGTGCCTCCATTTTTTCAGGATTTGGCTAATGGGAAATCAGTAAATTATTATTATTTTTTTTGTCTAAAACTGGGTAAAATATAGGAAATAATCTTAGGGTGAGAAAAACAGAGTTGTATGAAAATATTTTGTCAAGAAAATACAGAGAAAAAAACAAAACAAAACAAAATAATACTTTCTTTATTAGTGCCCTCTTTCAAAGTTTGACATCCAGGCAAGAAGAAAAGTTTTATTAGTTTTCCAAGACATCTTTTCTGCTTGTGTGCAGAAAGCCTAAAGGAAATTTCCATCTATACGTGGGCAGAGGATCTTTGCCTTAAAGTGAGTGAATCTTTTAACAGTTTTAATCTTCCTCTAGGAAAAGGCTGTTAAAACTATTAAACTATTAAAAATACTATATTTTGTTTTTCAGCCTAAGTGATCTCAAACTTGTATTTCACTCTGTTTATATATATATATATATATATATATATATATATATATATATATATATATATATATATATATATATATATATATATATATATAAAAACAAATAAAGCAGATGGTACATGAGGGAGCTTCTAGATAAGCAAGTGGATTAAGTGATATACTGTCCATGGAATAATAAACCTGCCATGATTGTCCATATAGTCAGTGGAAATATGTACACCCCATAATTCAAAAGCCTGCAGAACTCTCAGCTATTATTCTTAATTATTGTTATTATCAGTCTGTTCTTGTCAAAATCTCTCAACAACTTTTTTTTCTGCTGTTTTTGAAAGACTTTAGCTAACCTATCTTTAAAATAATAAGTTCAGTTAAACTAAAGCTTTACCACCAGACCCTGAAATTCAATCTATGCAACACTGATTATTTGCTGGTCTATTTTGTGTCAATGTCCAGTTTAGCGACCCAGTTTAATTCCAGTTTCAGACATATGGCCTGAACATGCAAAACTCACCTTTATATATATGACACTATTTTTTTTTTTAAATAACACCAGAAAGAACTAAAAAGGTTAAGGGTCCAGATAAAGAGAAGGCATGCAAGACATGGTTTCTACTGGCCAAATCACCATCTTATTGTTCTATTTAAAGCCTAAATGTACTCTAATATCTTGTGAAGATGAAATGCATGTCCAACCGCTCCACTCGAAACACACCGAGCAGAATAGGTTGCTTGGCAAAAACTGTTGTGTGTATGCTCTTTCGAACCAAATCCTCATCCCTCAGCTACAAGGCTTGGTATTTTGTATGTGGTCTTTGTTGCAGACCTGTCCACATACAACTTAGTAATACTAAGTCACACTGCCATCTTTTTTTTTTTTTTTTTTGAGTTTTTAAGGAACTAGCAGCTTGTTGTTTGGACAGTAGGCTGACAGTTAAAGGGGGTAGAGAGGGGGAGAGACGTGGCAAAGGACCACAGGCCGGTTTGGAACCCACGTCAAGGACTAAGGCATCCATACATGGGTCGTGCACGCTAACCACAGCTCCACTATCACGCCCACGATGCCATCTTTTAACAGGAGAACAGACTCAATCTATCTTTTCCCACTTATCACCGGCAGTCTATGGGTGAAAGGCAGGGTACACCCTGGACAGGTTGCCAGTCTGTGGCAGGCCACAGACAAGAAAACAGACCTTTTCCTGAAAATCCTTCCAAACAGGCCTTATCTGGTCATGATTTTTCTAATTTCAATGTCATGGACTTAAACATGAGTCTCTAAAGTCATTAACAATGGCTTTCCATTATCTAAACAAATGCCTGTATTACACAATAGGAAACCATCAAAACGTCCAATTTTATAGAAGTTGTCAGACCTGCTGATTAGGGCTGCAACTAACAATTATTTAGCAAACCTTTTTGAATAAATAATCGGATAGCAAATGGTTCCTTTAAGAAGATTTTCACAAAATCAAATTAGATGAACCTAAAACTTTTCCACTGGAGGAGGCTGCGTATTGACGGACGAAAAATATAGTTTATTCTTAAATGCAAAATGTTCATATATATTTTTCAACAATTTTGCTATAATTACTGCTCTAATTGGGTTGCTCTTTCAGCTAAAGGCAGAGTTTAAAGTCTCTATGCTCCAGTTAATGATGAATCGATTACTAAATCACTAATCACAATTAATCCGATTAATTGTTTCAGCCCTACTGCTGATTATCTGTTACTTTGCTGCTTTCACTGCCAGAACCTGGCTGCTACTTTCCATCTTAATTTTATCAACGCAGAAGAGATGCACTTACTTTCTAATAGGGTAGTTTGATTCTCTGGAAAACTTTAATTCAATCCTTGCTTCAAGTTTAGAATTATAATATCATGATTTTTTTTTATTATTTTCCACTTCAATTTTTGTTCTGTCTTTCCCTGCATTCCTTTGTTTTATCAAAGCACTGTCCTGTCCAAGTATATATCCTGCCGACAGCATTAGTCATCTCCCGCCGACACACAAATCAAACACATGCTGTCATGTTATTGGAAATATCCTGTGATAGGCAGGCTTCACTTGGTGCAGTGAAATTGGATGAAATTTCACCTTAAGTGAAATGTTCCATTTCCTGACAGGTTAATGTTAGCTTGTTAATTAGTTGCAATAGTTAGCCTGTGCCCCAAATCTGCAGCATACTGCTTTTTCTAAGCAAGATTTCTGAATCTGTTTCTTTCAAAAAACTGTTAATCCCAGTTTTTCACTTAAAGAAATACTTTCCAAAAGATGATATTGTCTTTTTTTAATCAAAAAATATAATTTTTTATTTGGTCGTTTAAGGGCAACTTGTTTGCAACAAGTAGTAGCAGCAGCCAATGTGCATTCAAACAAAATTTACCCAATAAGTAAAAAAGGAAATAAGACAACTCACAATGTTAAACGAGATCAATAAAAAAAAAATGCATTGATATTTTAATATATATATATATGAAAGAAAAGTTCAATTCCAGTTAGATAGCACCCTTAAGTTCTTACATTTTTACGTGTAGTTTGTTTCAAAAGCCAATACCTAAAAAGATAAAACTGTTTTCCGTCGTAGGTGGAGCATATCTCAAAGTAAATGTTTCAGTGTATTACAGATTTAACACAACTGGCATGA